TGATGGTTCGTTGTCTGTTGGGGCGTGTGTCATCAAGTTTGTGCTGTATGTTAATTGGGAGTGAGTCGTAGCTCGATGCTAGTGCCCATCGATCAAGGAGGATGTTTGCTAGTTCTAGTGGGCTGTGGTGCAGCGGTTTGGCTGGGCTGCTTCTAGAGATTTTTCGTATCTTTTCCCAAACTTCAACAAGTGTTGTTTGCTCATTTATACTTTGTAGAAACTCTTCCCAATGTTTATTACGTATGACGTTGCTCATGTCTCTCATCTCTCTATTTGCAACTAGAAATGCATGCAAGTCACCTTGTGCTTTGGTTCGTTTGTACGTATCTCCAAGTTGCTTTACTCGTTCATGTTCTTTAACAAATACGGGGTCAAGGACCCACTTGGGTGGTGGTAGGTGTTGCCCACTTCTGCTAGGCTTACGACCTGTTCCCCAACACACCCATGTGTCATAGTAGGTAGTAATCGTATCAACGAGATCTCTGGAGAAGGCTTGTACATTCGTTATTGTGTAATCTTGATACCATTTTGAAATACAATTAATAAAGTGGTCATGCAAGCCATATGGAATATTCATTTTCCGTCTCTGATGTCTATTAGGTACATCACACTCTACCTCATAGGAAGCGGAAACTGCATAGTGATCACTAACCAAGTGATTTACCAACGAACATTCCATCCTATCTTGCACAAGGTTTCTACCCAATACATAATCAAGTCTGCCTCCCAATAAATGAGTTTGGGTATCCGTAGTATACACGGTTAATCTGTTGTCATAAACATATTTTATAAATTTGCATCCATTATCGTTGTTAGTACTGTCCCCCAGCGTAATATGTCTAGCATTAAAATCTCCCATGTATATTGTCCCATGATTGTCTAGATCCGGGAACAATGCTACATTGAGTTTCTGGCTTCTGGCATATACGTTGAGGAATGAAAAGTGGCCTGCTGTAGTTTGTACATGAAAGTGATGGTACTGTGTGTGTACATTGTGTGACGTGCTCACAAGAATGTGCGGTAAATCACTTCTGACGTATGTTAATAGGCCAGTGGCGTTACTGTTATTATAGGATGCATACCCTCTGATCTTTGGTGGGGTTTTGTTTATAATGTTGGACGTGTATTTGGCAACAGCCAAGTACCAAATGAGAAATATTTCCCTATTGGCCTACCTACCCAATAGATAAATTGCTGACCTGGAGAGCGTGCAGAGATCCTTTACTGCTAGAATCCGCTCAGTAAAACATCTAAACTATTGGGACCGAATAAAGAGCCTAAATCTGTACTCCCTTGAGCGCAGGCGGGAGAGATACATAATAATTTACACGTGGAAAATATTAGAGGGGCTGGTCCCAAACCTGCCCACAGAAATAACATCACATGAGACCAGAAGACATGGCAGGATGTGCAGAATACCCCCGTTGAAAAGCAGAGGTGCAACAGGTACTCTGAGAGAGAACTCTATCAACATCAGAGGCCCGAGACTGTTCAACACGCTTCCACTACACATAAGGGACATAACTGGCCGACCCCTCACAGTGTTCAAGAGAGAACTATCAACATCAGAGGCCCGAGACTGTTCAACACGCTTCCACTACACATAAGGGACATAACTGGCCGACCCTTCATAGTGTTCAAGAGAGAACTATCAACATCAGAGGCCCGAGACTGTTCAACACGCTTCCACTACACATAAGGGGCATAACTGGCCGACCCCTCACAGTGTTCAAGAGAGAACTATCAACATCAGAGGCCCGAGACTGTTCAACACACTTCCACTACACATAAGGGACATAACTGGCCGACCCCTCACAGTGTTCAAGAGAGAACTATCAACATCAGAGGCCCGAGACTGTTCAACACGCTTCCACTACACATAAGGGACATAACTGCCCGACCCCTCACAGTGTACAAGAGAGAACTATCAACATCAGAGGCCCGAGACTGTTCAACACACTTCCACTACACATAAGGGACATAACTGGCCGACCCCTCACAGTGTTCAAGAGAGAACTATCAACATCAGAGGCCCGAGACTGTTCAACACGCTTCCACTACACATAAGGGACATAACTGGCCGACCCCTCACAGTGTTCAAGAGAGAACTATCAACATCAGAGGCCCGAGACTGTTCAACACGCTTCCACTACACATAAGGGACATAACTGCCCGACCCCTCACAGTGTACAAGAGAGAACTATCAACATCAGAGGCCCGAGACTGTTCAACACACTTCCACTACACATAAGGGACATAACTGGCCGACCCCTCACAGTGTTCAAGAGAGAACTATCAACATCAGAGGCCCGAGACTGTTCAACACGCTTCCACAACACATAAAGGGACATAACTGGCCGACCCCTCACAGTGTTCAAGAGAGAACTATCAACATCAATACAATACAATACAATACAATACAATTTTATTTAGGTAAGGTACATACATACAATAAATATTTACAAGGATTGTTTAACTTATAGGTATAGCTAGTACATACAATGCCTAAAGCCACTATTACGCAAAGCGTTTCGGGCATGATAAACTTAAATGACAAGCTTAATACTAATTGAGCATAATGAGTAGAATGAAAACAAGAAATGAAAACATAGATGAAAAAGCAGCACAAATACAATTATGTCGACAAACAGCGCTCTTTAAAGAAAAAAACAGACATTGGTTGACAATAGAAGGGTAAGGTAGGTTACAGGGAATTTATTAGGTATAGCTTCGCTTTTAACTTAAACTGGTTGAGAGAGGTACAGTCTTTAACATGGTTGGGAAGGTCATTCCACATTCTGGGCCCCTTGAATTGTAGAGCATTTCTAGTTTGATTAAGTCGTACTCTAGGAATATCAAAACTGTTTTTATTTCTGGTGTGATGCTCATGGGTTCTGATACAACCTTCTATGAAGCTTTTGAGATCAGGATTGGCATTATAGTTTAGCGTTTTATATATGTATAATACACATGAGAGAATGTGCAGTGACTTAATGTCTAACATATTCAGAGATTTAAGTAGGGGTACCGAGTGATGTCTGGGGCCAGAATTGGATATTGTCCTAATAGCAGCTTTGTGTTGAGTAATTAGAGGACGTAAGTGATTTTGGGTAGTAGAGCCCCAAGCACAAATACCATAGTTGAGATATGGATAGATAAGGGAGTAATAGAGAGTCACCAGGGCAGGGCGTGGTACATAATATCTGATCTTAGAAAGAATGCCCACAGTTTTTGAAACTTTTTTTGATATGTTTAGAATGTGTCCCTGGAAATTAAGCTTGTGGTCAATGAGAATGCCAAGGAATTTGCCATCTAATTTGTTACAAATTTGGGTATTGTTTATTTTGAGATTTATTTGATTAGAGAATTTATTGCCAAACAGAATATAAAAGGTTTTGTCAATGTTAAGGGTGAGTTTGTTGGCAGTTAGCCACAGATGGACTTTATTTAGCTCAGTATTTACTGTGGCATTTAGAGCAAGGGGATCAGGACTGGAGTAAATGAAGGTTGTGTCGTCAGCAAATAGAATTGGTTTGAGGTGTTGGGAGGCATTTGGAAGGTCATTAATGTAGATGAGAAAGAGGAGAGGGCCAAGTATGCTGCCCTGGGGAACACCAATGTTGATGGGTAGGGTGGGAGAAATTGTATTATTCACAGAAACATATTGGAGCCTGTCAGTAAGGTAGGATTTGAGGTATTGTAGGGAGTGTCCTCTGACTCCATAATGATGTAATTTAAGAAGAAGGTTTTGGTGGTTGACAGTGTCAAAAGCTTTACGCAGGTCCACAAACAACCCAACAGAGAACTCATTTTTATCAAGAGCTGTATGAATCGAGTTAAGCATACTAATAAGTGCATCGTTAGTGCTTTTTTTGGGTCTGAAGCCATATTGGCAAGGGCTAAGTATATTGAGTTTGGCTAGATATGAGTAAAGCTGCTTATAGATTAGTTTTTCAAAAATTTTTGACAAGTTTGGCAGGATAGATATATAGGTCTGTAGTTGTTAACATCTGTGAGATTACCACATTTGTGGACAGGCGTTACTCTCGCTTTTTTTTAGAATATCTGGAAAGGTTTGGAGTTCAAGTGACTTGTTGAAGAGCAAAGCAATAGCAGGGGCTAAAGATCTGGAGGCTTTTTTGTAAATTAAAGTTGGTATCTCCTCAAGGGCACCAGACTTGGTTTTAAGGGAAAGGATTATCTCATTGACGTCAGTGGAATTAATAGGCTTTAGGTACAGAGACTGTGGATAGTTACCTGAAAGATAGTCATTAATGTCTGTACTAACCTATCCACCGCTGCCCACTGGATGGGGGGCGGTGTAACCTATCCACCGCTGCCCACTGGATGGGGGGCGGTGTAACCTATCCACCGCTGCCCACTGGATGGGGGGCGGTGTGCAGGACAAACATATCAATTGTGACACTAGCTCTCCACATATGTCAGTTGCTTAATTTAGAACCTGTACTTGAGGTCGATCTCGAACCCATTGTTGATGTGACGACTTATATTGAATTTTGTAACTAGCTCATCACGATTGTAACTTGCTTAGCTAAATGAATTGTGGGGTTCAGTCCCTGAGCCCATTATGTGCCTCTGTAACCCTTTCCACTACCGCCCACAAGATGGGTATGGGGGGCATAATAAATGAACTAAACTAAACTAGGATATCAAAGTTATTTATTTCTGGTGTGGTGATTAAGGGTTCTATTGCATCTCTCAAGGAAGAGTTTCACATGGTAGTAGTAAAACCATGGAACAGCTTACCTGGCGAAGGCGTAAATGTCAAAAACTCTGTTAACTTTTAAAGTATAGCTGGAAAAGATCAAGACTAATAGGGGGGGGGACTTCGACAAGCCGCCGGCTTCCTGTCCTCGTCGATGTCACTAGTGGTAAACTCTACTACTGGCCCTCAGGTAAATTCAGGTAAAATACACTCGGCACCCAGATATACCAAAGTCTCCCCAACCTTCTCCAAGTCAAAGAAAATGTTGGGACTCTCAGGCTGTGAGGCTCCCTGAGCCCTGATGTTATCCGGACCACCACCACAGCCACACCCCTGCTGGAAGGTCGTCAGTGCTGCCTCTCCCATTGTCTGCTTGCTGGTTCCTCCTGGCTCGTCCCAGTGCCACCTTCTGTGCCTCCTCTCCCTCTGGACACAACCTTGACGCTGCCACCTTGGACAAGAACACTGGTTTCGTTGTGTTTTTGGTGGACTTTTGGCTTCCTGTGTTTCATGGGCTGTTTGGCCCTCTCTTGGGGGTTGTATCGACGTCCTCCAGGTGAAGGGAAACCCATTTAGATCCCGTCGACTCCTCTCTCTTGATTTCAGAATGGTATAGCTGGTCGTCAGACCCAGCAGTTATTAGAGACATTCCCCAAGACTAATTAAGATACTTTGCGACAGTGTTGTGTCTTTTGGAGACGCCCCATATTAGAAAGCAACTTCTGCAGTCATCTACAGGAGATAATTGTCACTAACTTCACGAATTATAACGAAAATGGAGCCTCACGAGTGTCCAGATTGTGGAAAATCATTTAATCGTCTGGATCATATGAAGACTCACATGAGGATTCATACGGATTTTAAACCTTTCGAGTGTCTTGAGTGTGGGAGAAGCTTTAAAGAACGTAGAAGTGTAATAAGTCACATGTTAGTGCATACTGGTGATAAACCTTACGAGTGTCCCGAGTGTGGCAAAGGATTCAGTCAATCTGGCACAATGCAGAGACATAGAACAGTGCACAGTGATGCCAGACCTTTTGAGTGTACCGAGTGCGGGAAAAGATTCAGTCGTCTTGGAGCTTTGAAGAATCACAGCATTGTGCATTCTGACGATAGGCCTTTTGAGTGTACCGAGTGTGGAAAAAGGTTCAAAGCCCGAAATAATGTTAAGAGTCACATGCTAGTGCATACAGGTGATAAACCTCATGAATGTCCAAAGTGTGGGAAAAGATTCAGTCAACCTGCTCATATGAAGGTTCACATGATGGTGCATTTGGGTTTTAAACCGTATGAGTGTCCTGAATGTGGGAAAAGATTTAGTCAACTTGCTCATGTGAAGACTCACATGATCGTTCATACAGGCGACAAACCTTATGAATGTCCAGAGTGTGGGAAAAGATTCGGCCAACTAGGACATATGAATACGCATAGGACGCTACATACGGATGCTAAACCTTTCGAGTGTGCTGAATGCGGGAAACGATTCAGAAAACGTTCCAGTATAATAAGTCACATGATTGTGCATACAGATGATAAACCTCATGAATGTCCTGACTGTGGGAAGGGATTCAGTCGTCCTGGAGATTTGAAGACTCACAGGCTGGTGCATACAGATGATAAGCCTCATGAATGTCCTGAGTGTGGGAAGGGATTCAGTCGTCTTAGACTTATGAAAACTCACAGATTGGTGCATTCGGATGATAAACCTCACCTGTGTAATGAGTGTGGGAAAAGATTCAGTCGCCTTGGTGATCTGAAAACTCATATGATGATGCATTCGGATGAGAAACCCCACCAGTGTTACGAGTGTGGGAAGAGATTTAGGTACCGTCGCAGTATGAGAAGGCATATATTAGTGCATTCAAGAGAAACACCTGGCAGCTAATGTCCTAATTGAGTAAAATAGTGTTGGTAACCAAATTATTTTTAAAAGGCAACAGATGGTGCTTATAAACTATATAGGACTCATGAACATTATCTTTAAGATAAAGTCTTATCACCTTGGCAGTTGGACATTTTACAAAGATATTTTTATTAATAGCTTTGTGAGAGAAATACTTTTGACCACAAACTAGAATTTTTTCAAGTTGGAAGGCAGTGCTCTGCAACTTGTGACATTTAAATGATATTTTAGTTTTCTGTTCCAAGGCCAAGGCTGTTCTTGGGAAGACCAAGATGAGGACCACATTATGAGATCATAAAGACCTAAAATCAACCACAGGTAAACAAATACTTTATAATTTTTCCTAAGCACGATAAAGTTCAGAACATGTTTTATATACAGTATTTATTTATTCAATAAATATTTTCCATTTATACTATTAAGAAAGCTAATTAAAATATAATACAGTATAGCTATTTCAGTAGCTATGTTAGAGATATTTAATTATTAAATATTTGGACAGAGTATTTATTTATTTATATACAAGAAGGTACATTGGGTTTATGAGAGAACGTAGCATTGAAGTTTTTACATTCTTGTAAAGCCACTAACTCATTGCATTTTGGGCAGTAGAAAACAGTTCCAGATTTATTCAAGATGAGGTCCATTTTATTGACAGGAATAATAAATATTGATTTTCTTTTAGGATTTAGAAACTAATTTTTTTTTTTTTTTTTTTTTTTTTTTTTTTTTTTTTTTTTTTTTTTTTTTTTTTTTTTTTATATACAAGAGTTGTTACATTCTTGTACAGCCACTAGTACGCGTAGCGTTTCGGGCAGGTCCCTGGAATACGATCCCCTGCCGCGAAGAATCGTTTTTTCATCCAAGTACACATTTTACTGTTGCGTTAAACAGAGGCTACAGTTAAGGAATTGCGCCCAGTAAATCCTCCCCGGCCAGGATACGAACCCATGACATAGCGCTCGCGGAACGCCAGGCGAGTGTCTTACCACTACACCACTGAGACTGTTAAATCAGTATTCATTAAATCAGGTAATATTAAATCAGGTAATCAGTATTCTTACTCAAACTGGCATAAGGGGCTTCAGGGGCATAACTGGCCGACCCCTCACAGTGTTCAAGAGAGAACTGGATAAGCACCTCCAAAGGATACCTGATCAACCAGGCTGTGACTCATACGTCAGGCTGCGAGCAGCCGCATCCAACAGCCTGGTTTATCAGTCCAGCAACCAGGAGGCCTGGTCAACGACCGGGCCGCAGGGACGCTAAGCCCCGGAAGCACCTCAAGGTAACCTCAAGGTAAGGTAAGGTAACTGGTTTCCAATTTTGTATGATCATTTCATTAAGGTTTTGCTACTTTTTGGAAAGTATTCAAAGTAGCTAGTGTGTTATCTTGTCTCATAATTGACAATGACTTGGATAAAAAAAGTTTTCTGAGGGAAGCCCTGTCTGCTCCTCGGAGCTGTCCAGGCTGATATGTAACTACTGTACAGTATTAGCTTTCTGGCATCGGTTAAAGTGCATGGAGTTCTTGCCTATCGGGAATCACGAGCCAGGTTGGGAGAGGCACGAGGAGCAATGACCTATAGAAACCCCCGTGTGGTTGGGAACATTCGATGTCTGCCATCAACCGGGTCTGGCATCCAGAAAGATAGGCGCTCCAAAACAAAACCCTCTATTCTGGTGAAAATATTGCTACTGATAGCCAAACGAGTGGACAGAACTCCCCAACAAAAATTAGCAAATGAGCATGATGTCATCACGTTGCCGCGCCGTTGTCTGAGCAACCTGCCCCCTCCCCCGGGAGGAAGCCCCAGACCCTCACACCGGCTATCCAACCAGCAGTTCTTGGCTGATGTGATACTGGCAGGTCAGGTGCCTCTGGCTCCAGTTTTTGCTTACAGTTCTGTGCCTTGTGGCGTGGTGTGTCTACAGGTGGTGTGTGAGCCAGGAATAATATTCTACGGTACTCGGGCTGCATGCGCCTAGGGTTTCCTTCCCTTGGTGCCCAATAAGTACTCCCCTTGGGGCTTGGGGGGCCACATTCCACACGTCACCATGGGGCCTACCTCTGCTGTGTCTTTCACTGCTAAGTAGGGAAGGTTCGTTTTGGTCCCTGCCTCTTTGGAGCTGGACTCTTTGGATTGCCCATCTGCTGGGTTCTCGGAGTTTTGATTCTCCAAACGGTTCATGTTTAGGGAGTGTCCAATGTCCTTGCTGACCCTCTATTCTAATTCCTCCCCATTTCCATGGAGTGGACTATCGATGCTGCCTCCTTCCTGTGACTTTGTCAGACATTCTGGCACCTCTATGCATTGGCATGATCTCGGCGCCTTCCTTTTTACACAGCTCTGTTCCCTGATTGCGAGGCTCTCGCAGTGGATGCTTTTCAGCTGGATTGGTCACGGTGAAGGTTCCTTATTACTGCCACTATGGGTATCAACCGGGTTCTTGATCGATGACCCTAAGTAATAGTATCCGACCCCAAGTCGGTAGTGGCCTTCAAGGAGTTGGCTAGGTAATGCAAAATAATAAAAGAGGGGAGGGATGAACACAACACTTAATCCTTTATCAATATAGTCACTTAACTTATTAGTACCTTCCCATCACCTTAAATAGAAAATAGAAAATGAAATATTACTACACGTGGATATTTACTTGTCGCTCTCACATAGGACACTGAGCACTCCTCGATACTAACACGATGCAGCCTTTGTCAACTTCTGTGTTTCCTCAACATACAGTACCGTCCTCAACCAGTACTGGGGAACACCAACGAGTCTACCCTTGTTGTGGGCCAGCCTACCAACAGTATCACTAGATGCCTCTTGTGATGATTGCCCACAATCACTCTCCAGCTAAGTGCTGTCAGAAATCCTCAGCCATGCTCTGATTGGGGCCACTACATGGACAAATACAGGGGTAGCGAACCCCTGGCAGGAGCCTCTAGCGATGGGCTAGTAATGCTCCTCAATGGCACCTCACTGTCGGTCGACTCTCCCCTTAGGTAGTCCCGGGATACGCCGAATTCTTCCACTGCTATTCCACTAGCAGAAATCAGAAACTACACTGTTCCTAGTCAGCGGTGGCTCACTTAGTCATCAGGCGGAACTAAGTTGGGAGAGTTTAGGCTGCCCAAGGTATACTGCTTTCCTCAGTACCACTGCTGCCCCGCGTCACCTCTGTGGATACAGGCACGTCATCAGTTATAGGGTACTGGTGAAACCAGGAAGCAACACTCACTTATTCGGACATTGACATTCTGCTCGTAGTGACAACAGATGGATCTGGTCTTGAATCGTCACCTCACCAGAGGTCACTCGCTACGACCTCACTGGTTGACTAAGGCAGGAATCGTGAGCCATTTTGCAGTAATCAGGCTGTCACCACTCGATGGTGTCGTCCATATGACATCCAATACTGTGGGGATTAGGGAGCAGACTCACAGATGGCGCTGAAGTCAGTACTCTCTGCTCCGATGAAGATGTCGGGTTCGTAACATTCCTTTACCTTTTTCCCATGGTCTAGTGCTGCTCCTGGTCCTGGCCAGGTTGGATACCTACTGGAAAAGGGTGCACCTTCTGGCTCCCTTATGGCCAGCTCAGCCTTGATTTCAGGTGCTGCTTGCTCAGTGCCCAAACCTGGGCATTTTTCCGCGGCTCCACCTCTTTCAGAAGGTCGGCCCAGTGATGTACTTTGCTGGTTTGACGTCTTCCACTCAATGCAGCTGGTATTTCTGATGCGGGTTTATCATCATTTGCATGGGAAACAAAATGGCATCATTGATGGTGTCCCAGTTGCATTCTTCATTTTAGCAGCAGTACAAGGCTTTGTGGTGTTCTTTTGCCACATCCTATCCTATCTTTTTTCTTTTTTCCTCTCTTGATTGGTATCTCATACCAAATACTGTCGTCTTGTATCATGCAGTGCTGGCTTAGCCACTGCAGCTAGTGTAATGTATGTTTACATGTACGTAATTGGCTGTTAGACTTTTTTAGTGTTTTTAGATTAGTGCTGGTTGATTAGTGTTTTTTATATATGTGTAGTTCTTTGTATAGTGCAGATTTTTGTATATTTGTTATAGTGTGTAGCTCTATACTCTGATGAGATTTTATTACCACACACCACAGAATTATTTGAGGGGAGACCATCTTGGGGGAGTCCAACCTAGGGGAGGCCCTAGGTCGTGTTTGATCATTTGTGGGCCTTAGCACTTCTGTGGAGGGTCTTGTGTTGCAGGGGGGAGGGGTTTTTCTTACTTCCTCCTAATGAGAGTTTCAGCTGGTGCGACTTCCCTCAAGGGTTCATTTCTGAGTGCCTTTGGGCTCCTTTGTTTCGTCCTTTTGAAGGTCTCCTTCCTCCAGAGTTCCCCCAATGAAGACTCAGGAGGAAGGAGCCCATGTACCTCTTGTGCAACTCAGTTTACACCTCGGTTATGGACCTGTCTTCCTTCGAGCTGGTTCTTTCTTCCCTTATTGAGTGCATTATGAGGTTCTGGAATCATCCTTGCTGGCAGGATGACTCCATTCTGCATCCAGATGGAGGCAGAGGCTGAATGAAGGCCGTGTGGCTCAAACCGCAGAGTTCGGATTCCTCCAGGCTCTGGAGAAAGATGGTTTTCTGCTTGGGGCACAGTTTCTGTCGTACGCACACTTTTCAGTGGTGAGAGACTATGTTGCAGGTTTCTGGGGAGTTCTTTTGAGCCAATGTATGCCTCATCACACCTGCTCTTTCCCATGATGTGGGTTGGTTGCAGTTACATGCTCAAGTCTGCAACCTTGTCGAAGACAAAGCAGCTGTTGGCTGCTTTGTTTGCAGATGACCTTTGTGCCCGCTTGCACTTGACTTCTGTCATGCATTTCTTAAGCCTCCTGGAACTTCATTCTGATTGGCTCTCGGAGAATGTGAGAGTGCTCGGTGAGGCTCCTCCTGCAGGGTTTTGGTCTCTGCTGTTTCTGCATCATTGGCCTTCCTTAAGTTGTGTGCTCAGATCCTTTGGGAGGCGGTCTCTTTGTTTTTCACCTCCTGTCTCACGTGTCGGCAGGTTGTGCTGGCCCAGGCTTTGGACTTGGCGTATGCACTTCTGCTTCTTTTTGTTTCCTGAGGATGTGGCTTCTCAGTTTTTGTCAGCTGCGGGTGCCGTTTGTCAGCCTGTGGCAGACTTGTGTTTTTGGGGTGATCGTTCTCGCCTTCTCCATTGGTTTGGTTGAGCCAGGGCGTCGCCTGTTGTTGGTCAGGGTGGGTCCTCCATGATGCCAGTTTCTGGGTTGGTTGTTGTCCTCAGGCTTTGTCCTCTTCATCTGGTCAGTGTCATGCTCCCTTTGATCAAATGGCTGGCTCTAGAGTTTCAAGCCAGCCTTTGGCCTGAAACTTTGTCTTTGGGTAGGGCCAGCCCTTTTGTGGGTCGCCCTTTTGATGGGGCAGCTGGTGGGAAGCTGGCTCAGTTTGCCTGCTCTTGGTCCACTGATTTGTGGGCTTTTTGGGTAGTTTCGCAGCCTGCAGTGAAGTCCATCCTTCTTCGGGGGGTTTGACCTTTCGGGGCAGACCCCATGACCCTTGCCTTCATTGGGTTATCTCGGAGAGGATAGCTTCAGACGTGGTCAAAACGACTTTCTCTCTTTTTTGGTGGGGTTTTCACCCATTTCCAGTACCGAAATGGGATTCTTCAGATCTTCAGCTCATTCTCGACCTATCCAGGTTGAACCAGTTCGTCATGTGCTCCTCGTTTCAGATAATTACATTGTCCCAGGTCTGGTTTGAGAACAAGTCGGGCTCTTGGATGATCTCTGGACCTCCAATACATATATTAGCACGTTCCTATCTATCTGAGGATCAGGGACTGGTTAGGTTTTGTCATAGGGCTGCAGGCTTTCCACTTTCAAGTTCTACCATATGGGTCTAAATCTGGTACCTCGTGTTTTAGCATGTTTAACTCTGATTGTAGCGGTCCATCTTCGGTTTTTAGGTGCTCAGGTGTTGGCCTACCTTGACGACTGGCTGGTGTGGGCACCCAGCCAGTCTGCATGTCTGCTAGCCAGGGATCTGGCATTCCCAGCTCACCAGGTTTGGGTTCTTGGTGAACTAACAGCAGTTCCCAGTTGATTCCGTCCCCAGTTCGGATCTGGTTGGGCCTAGTTTGGGACTCCCAGTTGGTGTCACTTTCCCCTGCCTCCTGTGACCTTGCTCTGGCTGCAGCACCGTCTGTTAGTAGTGTGCAGAAGCCTCAACTTTGTCTTTGGGTAGGTAGGGTTTGGCTTCAGAGGTTGTTTTGGTTTCTTCGGGGCAGCCCCTTTTGACTCTCACGATCACTGGGTGTGGACTCCTGGGTGCCATGCTCTGGCTGCTGCGGTGCCTGCATCCTTGTTGGGCTTTTTGGGGTTCGGTTCCCTGGCACCTTTCTCCACCCCTCACTCAGCATCTTCACAGGCGCCTCTGCTTTTGGACTGGCGCTCACCAGTCCAGCCAGGGATGTTGGCCTCTTCCCCTTCGTCGGTCGCACAGTATGCTTTGGGAGTTTGCGGCTGTGTGGCAGGCAGAGTGCAGATTCCTCCTGGCTCTGTGATCCTGCTCCATTCAGACTATTCTCCCCCATGGTTCATTGTCTCAACTTGAGGAGAGGGGAAGGGACGGGGATCTCTTTAGTCCCTGTCTCTTTAAAAGTACCACTCTCTTCGAATAGCTCATCTGCCGAGTTCGGGATTTGGCTGTTTGTCATTCATGTTTTGGGGTGTGCAACATTGTGGCCGACAGTCTTATCTGGTTCCTTCCTGTCTCCATGGAAGACAGGCCTTTGTTGCCACTTCCTTCCTCTGGCTTTCCTGGATGTCGGCCTCTTCACGTCAGTGTGGTCTCAAGAGTTTGAATTCTTTTCTTTCTTTCTTCTGCTCGGTTTACAGTGGCGTCTTCAGTCCAGGATTGTTTTTTGAAGGCATTGTATTTTATTTATATGGCCTTTGATTGTGCAGTGAGTGAGCTTCATGCTCTTCTTCAGTGCTAGGGGTTTTGTTACTTTGGCCCTGGTGGGTGCTTTGTAACCAGCTCTTTTTTCAACGAAGAATGAGTCGGCTGGCTTCCGGAGGGGTCCTTTGATTGTGTATTCGTGGTTGGTTCGGCTGACGGTGCATCATGTGCTTTGTCCGGTGGCAGCTCTTTGCTACTACCTTTGTGCCACCAGTTCTGCTTCGGTGGACTCTGTAGGTTGATCAGGTTGATCTGGTTTCCCCTGGTTCCCTGTTCCAGGGCTTGTATTTCTCAAGTCGTCTGTAGTGTCATTAAATCTAGACAGCCTGCGGTCTTTGTTCCCATAATGTATGCCGCTCTGACAACTGTGTTTGCTAATACCATGTGTCCTTATTTGAATGAGTTATATTGTGTCCTTATTTGAATGAGTTATATGGGGCGAGGCCAATTCATTCCTCTGCAGAATTTGTTCTACCCGTCAGCCCCAGACTGTCTCGCCCCGCCATGTGAAGAAATTAGAAGTCCTACATCCACTACAAACAAAACCAAAAAAAAAACAAAAAAACATAAAATCTATTTGTTATTTATTTATCCTTTTGAACATGACACATAATAGAACCATCATTAGTGAACAATTCCATATGAAAATCATATTTCTGTAGCTATTATTGGAGGCCACAAATATGATGTACTGGCCTTTATTTCTACCTGTATAAGCCAAATGTATCAATCTTGGTATAAATATTCATAAAAAATAAATTTTTTATGAATTCTTCATTTTCATCGTAGCATTTGATAGAGCAATTACTGTACTTACAAACAATTTGGTATAAAAATGTTACATACACTGTATACAGGTATAAGCATTATTAAATCCAATCAAGTGAAATCACCGAATTTTCAACAAACTGATGAGAGGAGGGGTGGTTGGCGGTCCGCCGGTAATTATCCAAGTGTAGTTACAGGATGAGAGCTACGCTCATGTTGTCCCGTCTCCCCAGCACTCTTTGTCATATAATGCTTTGAAATTATTGACGGTTTTGGCCTCCACCACCCACGGTGGTCATGGAGAGGGGGGTTGTGGCCAACTGCTGGTAGTCAGGTGCGGGGAGGTGGGGGGGGAAGGGGGCAGATCAGAACATACAGTACATTCGTTATCTTGAGATTATCTTGAGATGATTTTGGGGCTTAGCGGCCCGGTCCTCGTCTAGGCCTCCTTTTTGTTACAACCCCCTCCCCCCAGAAAGCAGCCCATATCAGCTGTCTAACTCCCAGGTACCTATTTACTGCTAGGTGAATAGTGGCATCAGGGTGAAAGAAACTCTGCCCATTTGGTTCTGCCTTCACTGGGGATCGAATCCGGACCCTCAGGACTACAAATCCATAACGCTGTCCACTCAGCTTTCGGGTCAGGTGAATACAAACAAAACACTGTTGAATTTCTGCAACAAAATTGTAAATTTTTCCTCGTAGCTTATCAGGATGACTAATCACCTATCCGAACACAACATTTTATCTATTCGTCTCGATCCCGAGAGGTTCGGATAGCATGTGACTGACTATAAAACCATTCAAAGACATTAAAATATTTAAGTAAAAATGTATTTGCAGCAACTCCCTCCACACTGTTTGGCTGGAGCACACTGCCATGGCGAGTACACTGTCAGCGCCTGAATATTACCACACTTCGTGCCCCAACCATGGCAAAGGTATGTCACATGCAATATTTTTTTGGGGTGGAGCCCCCTTGAAGCTATCATACACTGATTCAGTGCCAAACTACTAGATGCCATCATTCGTGGAGTTCTATTGGCTTACCAGGGACCATGAGCCAGAATCTACGCTCTACAGGTGAGCTTATGCGGTCTGGTGTCTCTTTCGGCAAGGCGCTGGTTCATGGTTTTAGGATGAGTGTTGGGGATTGGTTGTGGCGTTTTGTTTAGCCCATTGTGTGCTTCTTCTCATGACCTTCCTTGTCAATCTGTGTTATTCGTTTCACGGTTGGTCACGGCCCTGTCTTTCGAGATCTTTTTTTAGTCTTCCATGCCTGGGTCTTTTCTTGCCTCATGACACTCAGTCCTTGACCGTCGTGCAGTGCCTGGCTGAGCCTTTCCATATACATTGTGTTCTCTGTGTGTAGTAGGTAAAAATGGCAAATATGCAATTTGGTCAACAAACAGCATTGTTTAAAATAGTAGACATGGGTTGACATTTTAGGGGTGAGGTAGGTTACATGGAGTTAATTAGGTAGTACAGTACTTAGTTTTTATCTTAAACTGGTTGGGAGAGGTACAGTCTTTAACATGATCGGGAAGGTCATTCTTCATTCTGGGTCCGTTGATTTGTAAAGCATTTCTAGTTTGATTAAGTCGTACTCTTGGAATATCAAATAGGTATTTGTTCCTGGTGTGGTGCTCATGGGATCTGTTACAACCTTCTAGGAAGCTTTTAAGGTCAGGATTGACATTACAGTTCAGCACTTTATATATATAAAATACACATGAGAGGATGTGCAGTGACTTAATATCTAACATATTTAGAGATTTGAGTACGGGTACTGAGTAATGTCTGGGGCCAGAGTTAGATATTGTCTTAATAGCAGCTTGGTGTTGAGTAATTAGAGTACGTAAATGATTTTGGGTAGTAGAACCCCAAGCACAAATACCATAGTTGAGATAAGGATAGATAAGAGAGTAATAGTGTGTCACCAGGGCAGGGCGAAGTACATAAAATCTGATCTTAGAAAAAATGTCAACAGTTTTTGAAACTTTTTTTGATATATTTAGAATGTGTCCCTGGAAATTCAGCTTGTGGTCAATGAGAATGCCAAGGAAGTTGCCATCTACTTTGTTACAAATTTGGGTATTGTTTATCCTGAGATTTATTTGATTTGAGGATTTATTGTCAAACAAAATATAGAAAGTTTTGTCAATGTTGAGGGCGAGTTTGTTGGCAGTTAGCCAGAGATGGACTTTATTTAGCTCAGTATTCACTGTGACATTTAGAGCAAGGGGGTCAGGACTGGAGTAAATAAAGGTTGTGTCGTCAGCAAATAGAATTGGTTTGAGGTGTTGGGAGGCATTTGGAAGGTCATTAATTAATGTACATGAGAAATATTATCCCTAATAAAGGAAAGTAATTAACTGGACTCTGTTTAGATTCAACTAAATGTGGAGAGAATTCATGTTTTAGCCTGTCGCTGCCTCCCGGTGTCATTGAGACTAGGAAGAATTTGGCAAAATAGCTTCACAATAGAAAACATTGATTGGATTAATTCTACAAATTAGTAAGATTAGTAATTACTGTGGTTAATACAGTAATGATGTATTATTATAAAAAAAATGGTGTACAGTGGCACCTCAACTTACGATTGCCCCGACTTACGATAATTTTGAGTCACGATGTAAATTTGATAGAAAAATGCGACCTTCCAAACAGTAACACCTCTCCTCCCACCTCCTCACCATCTTCCATATGCCTTCAAGAGTCCTCCATAAAGGTAAGATAAACATATGTTCTGTATTGTAGTTAGAGAAAAAAATTGTATTTAGTATAAAATGTATTTGTAAATTAATATTTTGGAGGGTGAATAATGGATTACAGGTAATTTCATTCCCTTTATTTCTTATGGGAAAAATCGCTTTGACTTACGATATTTCGACTTACGATCTGTCTCTGGGAACTGATTACCGTCGTAAATTAAGACTCCACTATATTAGTGTTGGATAATTTCCAATAATAATCACCATCGACCAGGAAAGGACCCAGAAAGGTAGGTGAATCAAAACAGACCACCGTCTGGTTAACCTGTGTAATCTATGTCCTAAAAGATGAAAATAGAAAGACATCAGATAATCCTTCATTAATACAATTTTGATACCCTATTTAGGTTTTGATACCCTATTAATATCCCCTTTGTTATGACCAGTATTCCACTTGTGCACCTGTATCGTGTCACCCCTAATTCTTTGCCTCTCTAGAGAATGTAATTTAAGCTTTGTCAGTCTTTCTTCATATGACAGGTTTCTAATTTGGAAGATTAACTTGGTCATTGTATGCTGGACGCTTTCTAGTGAATTTATATTCATTCTATAGTACGGCAACCAAAACTGAACTGCATAATCTAAATGGGGCCCTAACCAAAACAAGATATACCTGAAGAACGACACCATGTGTCTTATTACTAACGCTTCGATAAATAAATAAATCCCCTTTGATTAATAAATAAATAGATCGTTTGAGGACTTCGTCGCTTGAAGTTGCCTTCCCTCTTGGGTTATGTTGGGGGTCTAGGGCTTTCCGTCTTGCCCCGGGTAAGGGAGTTTTATTGGCTGGGAGGGGCACACTGCCACTGGCTAAAGCTAGCTGGCGCAGCTAGCTTTACTTCAACACAGTAGCTGATGGTTCTCTCTGACTGCCAGTTTGTTGTGTGTCTTCGGGGATTTTGTTTTCATTTTCTTTTCATTCTCTGGCGTTCTCGCCTTGTTTCGACGGAGGTGGTCTGCTTAGCTTCTTATTAGGCAAGCCTTATTGTGTTGGTAGTCCTCCTCTGTTGCCCCTGAGGTTTCATAGCTCCTACTGGTAGTCAGTTTGCCTGCTACGTGACAGGGTTCTACTGGCTTAGCTGACCCCAGTACCTAGACTTCTCATGGGGCTAATTCACCCTACAGGCCCTGGAAAACCCCCTGTGGGCTTGGTCGTACAATGAATACTTCTTCCAAATTTTGTGCAGAGTTGAAGGTTGTTTGTTGCCTCTGCCTCAGGGAGACGATCATCCGTACTGCCTCCGTCATGTTGCCTGTTGAGTCATGGATACCATTGACTCAGAGTCTTGTCGGCCTCGTTCCCTGCTGGTGTTTCAACTTATTCATTTATCAACAACTTATCAACGTTTCAACTTATCCGGGATTAGTCGTTGTCTGCAAATGCCTGCCGGGCGGTTGAAAATTAATCATTTCTATCTCCAATTTTAGGAACATTTTTCATTTTGTTAATGAACCGTTGTTCTTTCCGATAATTCGGTCATTCCCTTATGTATAACATGTCTCAGATGTGGGTTATGTCTGCTATAAAATAGGTTGGAAGATTCGTTAATTGGTGAGAGCTTTCCTCATCACTGTTGATATGTCGTCAGTAGTTTTGGTAAGTTAGAATTCGTCTAGTTGTGCTTGCGGGGGTTGTGCTTTGGCTCTTTCAGCCCGCCTCTCATCCGTTGTTCTACTGGTGTATACATTCCTGAGTTACTTGAGCTCTTTTCAAGTAACGGTTGATCTTGTGTATGGTGTCAGCCTCCACCACATCACTGCCTCCTACATTCCATTTCCTTACTACTCTGCCACTGGTCAAGTTCTTTCTAATAGTGGTTCTTTTGGGTACTCTGCGTCCACGTGTGTCCCATTATGGGTGTACTAACAGTGTTGCTTTATCAATTTTTTTTCCCCTCTACACTGTTTTCCCTCTTTCATGGAGAAATTTTTGGTGGTGGGTCATGTCTCCCAGTCTTGTTTTCCCAGGGCAGTCTTGTCTTGTTTACGAGACTGTGGTATTTCTGTATATTCCCTCAGTCTTGTGTTCACAGCCTTTGGTCATTGGCTTGATTTTCATTTTCTTATTGGCACCAATTTTGACAACCTTGCCCTGTATACTCGTCCGGCTTCCTAGTCTATGGCGCTTGGTATCCCATCTGCATTACAGCCGTTTTAGACTTGGGGCTACTTTTTTAACGCACGTAACGCACAACTTGCACATTGTGTGTCTTGTCCTCCGACAAATGTGGTAGGTAGGCCCCCCTCCCCAGGTTTGTTTCTGAGTACCCTTGTTTGTTCCTCAGATTCATCTTTTCGGAGGTTGTGGGCTCCCTGCCTGTCTGCTAGCTGGGGTTCTGTTTCTTTCCCAGCTTGCTGCGTTCAAGTTCCTGGTAACTTGGCAGATGTCCCAGTTGGTTCTGTCCCTGGTTCGGACTTGGCTGAGTCTAGTGTGGGTTTCTTGGACTGCGTCCCTTTCTCTCCCTCCTGCAGCTCTGCTTCGGTTGCAGTCCCACCTTCAGCTGTTTTTGAAGGGGACCCGGGTCACTAGACAGTTTCTTGAGCAGCTGTGTGGGAACTTGAACTCTGTTGGTTTATCCACTGGGCAGGGTTTGGCTTTGGAGGCTGTTCTGGTATCTTCAGAGCGGCCTCTTTCACCGCTCTTGTGATCGCTGGGTTCGTTTCCTGGTGTTCTTATGCCGGTTGCTGCATCACAGGCTTCCTCTTTGGGTTTTTTGGGGTTTGGTGCCATGGTGCTTTCCTCTTCCCTCACTCAATGTGTTTACGGATACCTTGTTCCTCAGTTGGGGTTTGGTGACCAGTACTCACCAGTCAGGCCAGGGGCGTTGGGGGCTGTCCTTACATTGGGCTTACAGCATGGTGTGGGAGTTTGCAGCAGTGCGTCAGGTGCTGCAACAGATTCGGCTTCCTCGGGGCTCAGCGTCCGGCTCCTTTCGGACTGCTTCCCCATGGTTCATTGTCTCAACCGGAAAGGGGGGAGGTTATTTCGGCCCGTGGCTCTTTGGGGCTGGTTACTTCACGTAGCTCTGCTGCTGGGTACTCGAGGTTTAGCTTGACACGCTGTTCATGTTCAATGGGTGGGTGGGGGTGGGGGGCAACATCCTGGCAGATGGCCTGTTTCACTTCCTTCCTCTTTCCATGGAGTGGCCGGTCCAAGCAGCCTT